GCTCTGGTTATTCAATGCAAACATGAGCCTTTTTGCAGAACTGAGTTCTTTAATACATGCAAGAGCTTTCATCACCTATGGAACCTCTGAAACACAAACACCCTTGAATGTATAAAGAGTGTTGAACAGGTGGGAATCTGATCAGATAGCGAATTACTTTTGAGGTGGATGGTCAGGATGTCTCAGTATTAAACCATTCAGACGGGCTTCCTGTTTCTTAAACTTCATGAGAGGAAGTGATGTGTGCCGCCAATGTTTCTGTGGTGATGTAAGGGAAGCCAGATAGAAGTCAAATAGGAAGCTGCACGTTGTTCCCGCTGTCGCCGCTGGTGAAATGTGTAATGATGAAAACTGATCTTTAAAGATGCCAGACTAGAATGTTCAGTGTCTTGGACTAATTCACCGTAATGTCATGTTTGTTTTCATACATGTAATCAGGATGCAGTTGTGTGTGGTGACTTCTCAGCGTTTAGCCACATTCACACTGACAGTCACCACCTCCAAAAGGCCTGAGCACATAGCCAACATGCAGTGGCTGTACAGCTGGATGTCTTCACTGACTCCCTGAGCTCTTGCAACTTTTTCTGGGACCTGGGTGCACAAATATGCTCAGATCAGCCGGAATGTGGGGTTCCTGTATTGACCTGACCAGATCAGATAGCATTCTCTCTCAGGTTACAGACAGGGGACAAGTTAAAAGAAAACCCTGACTACATGAGTGGTCTCCTCCAGGGTGACAGTGCCTCCATCCACAGCACACAAGGGGTCACTGAATCTAATGCTATGGCCTACACAGTCACCAGCTCGCAACCCAGCTGAACACCTGTGGGAGATTTTGGAGTGACATGGACCAACAGTGTGGAAAAACATAGTTAATGTACAGTTTGTGCTGACTGGCCTGCTGGTGGGACAGCGGGAGTGACATTGAAATGGAAACAACAGCACAAAGTAGAAGCTTAACAACAGGAGGATAAAATGAAAGGCTCTAACATTTCAAATCATTTCCTGCTCTGCAGGCTGTGGACTGAACTACCACAAGCGGTGTGCGTTCAAGATCCCCAATAACTGCAGCGGGGTGAGGAAGAGGCGGCTGTCCAACGTCTCCCTGCCAGGTGCCGCCATGGCCATCACCCGTCCACCCTCCACCGAGCTCACCCCGACGCCACCCGACGAGGTCGGTTTAATACCATCAACTGAAACCTTTAGTGTCACTCAGTCTGGTGAAGCATGTTGGTGGGGTGACAACCACACATCACCAAAAGGTGTACCGCAGTGTAAAAACACTATTTCAAGTAAAAGTCCTGCATTCACATCTTTAATGAAATAAAGCTACAGAAGTCTTGGTATCAAAATATACTTGGAGTACACAACAGCACCAGTAGTGATTCTGTAGAACGGCCCATTTCACATTAATGTCCATGATACTATTGGATCATAGTGACTGATTACTGTGTCCATCACTTTAATGCTGCGGCTGGTAAAGGTGGAGCTGATGGTAACTACCTTATATACTTATACTGTGAAGTACTTTACATACTGCTGGGTAGCTGGTGGATTTCCCACCGGGATCAATAGTCTGTCTGTGTTTACTTTTATTTACATGATTCTTAAAAGGAACTAAAGTGCAAGATTTGTCTTTGACATGTAGTGAAGTCCATGTGTGAAGCAGCAGAACGTGGAAGTGCTCCAGTAAAGTGGAGCTGATAAGTGTGTTTGTCAGTGAGAAAGAAGCAACATGACGTTGCACTAACGCTCGTCACCACCAAACCACATCTTCAGTAGAGTCAGTTTCCTTTTTTTTTCTGCAGACATGAGCCTGTCAACATGTTTGGGCAGCAGTTCATGAGGTCAGAGCAGTTTCTTTGTCCTCTTTATAGGCCTCTGGCGTTTCCTGTGCTGTGAGCTGGCCTCGTTAGCTGATCCATGTTTCTGATCTGTCTCAGATTAGACTTTGATGAGATGTCAAATGTGTGCACAGCTTCTTTGCACAAACTTGATAAATCGGTGTGTGATGTGATGAGGTGGATTATCACAGCCTCCTGCTCCTGCCAGTGCTGTGGCCTGTAAGTGACACGTTGTACAGGGACATGCATTGTTCTGGTGGACAGAAAAGATTTAATCTGTGTTCTGCTTTTACAACCAGGGAACAGTCCTCTCCCTTTGAACCTCCTGAATGCAGACAGTTCTCCAACAGAGCTTTAAAATCATTGGGGGTTTATGCATGAAATGTTGGGGAATTTGCAGGTTTTGAAAAGTCTTTGAAATCACTTCCCTCAAAAAAATCTTTAGAAGGTCTATTTTTACCTATTGATTACTGAAAATTATCGTTATATGCAGCTGAGAAAATGTGATAAATTCCTGTACTTATTAATAATTATAGGCCTCATTGTTCCTACTGTTTTTGTGTCATTCAAAATGGGATTAAATTGCATACTAAGTAGTATTAAAAAGTCTTAAATTTACCACAGAAACATTGAATATTTCAAGTTTTGAAAACTGGTTCCTGGTTCCCCCTCTCTCTCCGCCAGCAGCGCCCCCTCCTGGGCGCAGGGAAGCGTAACTCTCTGCTGAGCGGTCGTCCCATCTGGATGGAGAAGATGGTCCTGGGTCGGGTCAAAGTCCCTCACACCTTCTCTGTCCACACCTACACTCGCCCCACCATCTGCCAGTTCTGCAAGCGTCTGCTGAAGGGGCTCTTCCGCCAGGGACTGCAGTGCAAAGGTGACGACACACCCGCGCCCATGTGCAAATGACCTATAATCTCACATTAATTTGTTCCATCTGTTAGTCATAACCTAAATTAGGGCTGCAACTGATGATTAAGAGTTTAAATCCCAAGACCTTCAGTCTGCTTTCACATGAGATGAGCAGTATCAGCAAATCCTCACATTTAAGAAGTTGTAACCAGGCAGGGTTTGATGTTTGGACTTGGAAGATTATTTAAAAAGTTGATTGATGTTCATAATACTTGCTCCTTAACTTTTTTGTCATTCAGGTAATCTGCTAATTCTGCTTCATTCTAAATGATACTTTAAGATAAAATAATGGAAATGTTGCTGTTCCCAAGTGGGAAAATGGAAGTGTTGCAGCAAAATGTTCAAAAACAACTGTAGAACTATGTGACGTACTCATCACTGTCTCATCGACTTTACAGCACAAAAGCACGAAAATAAAGTGTAGGTGCTACAAAATTTGCACTAATCATAATCTACCAAATATTAATAATGATAATAAGATAATGAATGTATATTAAACGTTGTTATTCATTTAGTGGCAGTAGATGAAAATGATAAATAAAACTTGCTGACTTGGTGAAACTCAGAATTTATGATCATGTTTTCAGTGCAAGATAAAGGTTTGATGTATTTGTCTGTTTTTCTTCAGATTGCAAATTTAACTGCCATAAGAGATGTGCAGCCAAAGTCCCTCGAGACTGTCTCGGTGAGGTCGACTTTAACGGAGGTGAGCTGCTTTGACTACTTTCAAACTCACAAGCACTCTTCACAGCGGGGTTTAAAACGGAGACAAAGTTTCTACCTGCGTCTACAGTGGCTAAGATCAATAATTTTATATTAAAGGATCAGTTGGCTGCTTGTGTAAAGGAGGGCCCTCATGATGATGGAGCTGTTCTCCTCCTCGTCTCTTCGCTCATTGCCTTGGGTTATTGTTTGGGGTCACTGTCACTGCTCTGGGCGTGGCTTTCTGCACAGAGGGCAGCTGGTTTCTGTGAAAACGACTGTACACACACACACACACACACACACACACAGGGGTCAGGCATGAACACTTCTGTGTCTGGTGAAGAAAGTCAAGCACTGAGTGTTGAGTTGTTTGTAAAAGTGCTATTTAAATAAAGTTTATCATTATTTTTTATTTCTGCAGAGAACATAGGGGATTTCCTATTCACTTCAGTGGGTGTTCGAGGACCTGCAGCATCATGAAATACTGAGAAACATTTTAGGTTCTTATATAATTGACCTGTTAGCTCTTCTAACCTATGTTTTTGCAGAACCGTCCAGTCCCAGTCTGGACTCTGAGGCGACAATGGAGGTGGACAGCTGTGACATCAACAGCGATGGCAGTCACAGTATGGATGAGCAGGATGAGCCGTCAGCTCCCGATGACTTCGCCGAGGGCTCCTGCGTGGACGGCGAGAAGGATGACGAGATGCTCCGAGCCATCAGGTGACACTGGTTCAGAAACAAACCAAACAAACTTCCCGTGATCATGCGACCGCCCCGCCAGACATACATGCACAACAGTCGTATGATAATGTGAAAGATGGAAACTTACTATTCATTTCAGTCAGAAAGATGATATTCCCAGTCATTTGAGTTGTTGGATGTTTGTTTGTTTCTCTGCAGCCCGTCCACCAGCAGTAACATCCCACTGATGCGTGTGGTTCAGTCCATCAAACACACCAAGAGGAAAAGCTCCACGGTGGTTAAAGAGGGCTGGATGGTGCACTACACCAGCCACGACACCCTGGTGAGGAGAGGGACAGAACACAGACATATACACCAAACAGATCATATCCACCAGCTGCTTTGGGGGCTGATTGTTGTGTCTTTGCAGAGAAAGAGACATTACTGGAGACTGGACAGCAAGAGTCTGACTCTATTTCAGAATGAAAGTGGAGCCAAGTATTACAAGGTAGGAGACTCAGAGCAGATGTGGTTTCATCTGTTCAGCCGAGTGGAGTCGGGTTTGTACAGTAACATTCAGCTCTACGGAGCTCATTAGGCACATATCACTGTCTGATTATAACCAGAGAACTCACTGTAATCAGGTCTGGATGTTGACACTGGGCTGCAACCTTCACTGTGCAGCTCCAATGGACACCGTCAAATTCTGCAATAAATCGTCCTCCATAACAGTGACAATGTTCAAAGTGTGTGTTCTAACAGTTTTACAGTGTTGATTGACCGGGATTGTGTTCTACTGACAAATGTTTCTGTTAAGAGCTAAGGAGAAATTTGTTCTTTGTTTTTATTTAAAATGGTTAGAAACATGAGTACTTGTTTCTCTCAAAGTTGTTAGTAATTTAATGAAAAAAGCAAAAGGAGGAATATATTAATCTGTCTCTCAGCACTGTCTGACCTCTCACTGTTCATTTTATAGTCTTATTTATATAAAACTAATCTAATGGAATTTGTTTACTTTAGGAAAACTATAGACCATCACTAGACTTATTATTTGAACTATTGATTGGTAATGCAGTTCACTACACTTGGAGCAGAGATTTTGGTTAAACTATTGATCAGGTGTCCTGCTCTACAGTTTTAACACCTGCCAATTTAATTAAACAGCGGGTTGAAAGTTGAAATTCCCAAGTAGCAGCATGATCTATAGAAATATCAAGCCATGTTATGATGTGAGTCCAGGCCCGTGCAGCTGCAGCTCTTTCCATTCTCCATCATCTTGTGCTCCTCCTTTCATCCTGCGTCAGCCAGCGACCTGTTGGCCTTTACCACGAAGCGCTTCAGAAACCTTCCTTTGAAGAGAGGGTGTGAGCGGGGGCAGAGGCGGGGAGGGGGAGATTTGTGGTGGTTTGTGGTGGACCTTGGGTTGCTTCCCTGTCATCTCGCTCTGGCTCATCCCCGTGCCGCCTCGTGCCACAGCGGCTGAGGCACGTCCTGTCTTTTAATCAGAGGACAAGTAGATGCTGATGAGAGGGTGTGGTTGGTGGTTGGACGGCAAACTTGGCAAAGCACAAAAGTTTAGGGGGCACAGATGGGGCATGAGACACCACTGAGCCATTCTACTTTATATGTTTGATCTGGCAGGGGTTAGAGTTTTTAGGAAGAGGGGGGTACTTTGCCAGAAAAGGAAGGAAGGAAAGTTTAAACACTGAAATTCAAAAAGCGTCTCAGTTCAGCAGAGAGAGCAGAGGTGCAGGATGGAGGGAACAGCTGATACTGCGTCCGCTGGATCATCTAGAGAACTTGACTTAAACGATTCTAAATAGTTACAACAAGTGGAGTTTATCAGGATTTGAAGAGAGGAGATGTTTTAAAAGTGTAGAGCTGAAAGTGGAGGCAGGACGCACTGAACGAAAATTCAGGTTACTTTAGTCTCTTATGTGATCTAACACAAGCACAGGAATCAAAATTATATCTGTGACTTTCTATCTATCCTAACAAACAACAGGAGATCCCCCTGTCCGAGATTCTGCAGGTGGAGCCGGCACAGGACGTTGGCAGCCTGCCTCAGGGTAGCAACCCGCACTGCTTTGAGGTGATCACGGCCAACATGGTGTACTACGTTGGAGAGGACAACGGCGGCCTGTTCAACAATCCTGTCCTGGCCGCATCTGGTGTGGGGCGGGACGTGGGTCAGAGTTGGGAGAAGGCCATCCGCCAGGCACTGATGCCCGTCACACCCAAGCCCAGCGTCGGCACCGGGCCCGGCATGGGGAAGGACCACAGTGAGTGACAACCAACCAAATTTAGGCTCAACTTAAAGGTGCTTTAACAAGGTGCAGTAAAAGCTAGCGGAATAGTGTAAACAGAGCAGAGATCTGTGTTTCTTCAGACACTGTACAAAGTGTCCTCAGCCTGTGGGCCTCACATTTTTCCTGAGGAAGAAACATGTCACCCAGTGCAGTGGTGTGGCTCACTGCTGTGTGTTTAATACTTTCTGCACAGCAGTGGTAGTCTACGGCACAGACGGCAGCATCTGTAATCTAACACAGTAGAAGGGTTTCTAAAAGTACAGTCTCTGATACAAGCCTTGTTGTCGTACCCAGAGCTAAAGAAAGTTCACCTATCCAAGTATAGAGAATTAAAACACCAGGGAACATTGGTTTAAACCAGTTTGACCAGTTTTTTATGTGCATCTGAACATCCTACTGTTTACATTTCTGTCCATAAAGTTACATAAACTTTCTGACTGGTGACCTAACTGGTGACCTACATACAGTGGGTACAGAAAGTATTCAGACCCCCTTCAGTTTTTCACTCTTTGTTATATTGCAGCCATATGCTAAAATCATTTAAGTTCATTTTTTTCCTCATTAATGTACACACAGCACCCCATATTGACAGAAAAACACAGAATTTTTGACATTTTTGCAGATTTATTAAAAAAGAAAAACTGAAATATCACATGGTCATAAGTATTCAGACCCTTTGCTCAGTATTTAGTAGAAGCACCCTTTTGAGCTAATACAGCCATGAGTCTTTTTAGGAATGATGCAACAAGTTTTTCACACCTGCATTTGGGGATCCTCTGCCATTCCTCCTTGCAGATCCTCTCCAGTTCTGTCAGGTTGGATGGTAAACGTTGGTCGTCATGTTTAACATGTCATTTTGCTTCAGTGGCATTTTGGTCTGTTTCACCCAGATAGATGAGTCGGTGTGAAAATGTGGGAAAGATGGTCAAAAATGTGATTTAATGTGCTTCTCTTAAAAGCAGTTGTAGGTTTGGTGGTTGAATAAAAATGGGAAGGAGAAAGCTGTGTGACCACACAAAGCAGTTTTGAGTTTTGAGATTCAGTAAATTTGCCACTTCCCCTTTTTTTAACTGTCTTCTTTTTTATGTGGTGTCAAATCTGTGAAAAAGAAAACATTTGTTTGTACATGACCCGGTTGTACTTTTCCTCAGATGCCTGGTAATATCTAACATCTTCAGAATGAATCTAAATGGTAAATCATAATAATGTGGTTTATGATGACATATGAGTGCACTTTTCAAAGTACTCTACATCAGGATATTTCATTCTGACTGACAAGATGTACTTAACATGTACTTACCAAACAAACAAAAACACTATCTTTATAATAATGACCCTCATCAGTCAAATTAAATATTCTTCATATTTTATATTAGAAAACCAGACAGGAAAATGTTGTTTTTACTGCGCCAACCAAACCAGTGCTTTCAGATGAAGACTTTTAAAGTGTAGGTGAAAACTAAAAATCGACAGTATGAATCTTTCATCACAGGAACTCACAGGAATTGCACATTAAATAGTTTATTATTGAAAGAAAAGTGGATGAATAAATCAATTATAAAACAAACACAAGTGAGAATACATGGAGGACTGCAGACTTAATCTAAACGATATCCGGGACTCACCGCTCAGCAGGGAGGGATTTCATTCATGAAGTGCTGGAGGAAGAAATGGGAGGATGTCTGACCTTCGCTCCCATACTTATGTCTGTGACAGGAGGGTGTCCCTGTGTTGTTGTAATACTTATGACCATGTGATATTTCAGTTTTTCTTTTTTAATAAATCTGCAAAAATGTCAAACATTCTGTGTTTTTCTGTCAATATGGGGTGCTGTGTGTACATTAATGAGGAAAAAAATGAACTTAAATGATTTTAGCATATGGCTGCAATATAACAAAGAGTGAAAAATTTAAGGGGGTCTGAATACTTTCCGTACCCACTGTATCAGCGGGCTGCCTGCCTGCAGCAGACGGCAGGTATTGATCGCTGAGGAATGACCCGATCACACCCCGGCCAGAGATCTGAAATCAATATTAGCTCATCAGTGGAAACTCGGTTGCAGCGTCAGTTTTCCTCTCCACGTAACGCACCATCAGCCCTTTAATGTCGGCCTGGATTAGCACAGCACGTCCTCTGTGATCAGAGAGATTCCTGTATCTGCACATGTAGAGACCAAACACACAAAGCAACAAGACAGGAAGCAGAGGGCTTTTATTTTTGTGGAATGTGGAAAATGATTTGAGAGTGTCAAGCCCGCCGGAAACATCTTCACTGTTCTTTCATCATGTGTTGAACAAACAAATGTGCTGGTTTGATCTCAGCTGGAAATCTCCTCTGTCACCTCATTCTTAACTAACAGGGAAACGTAGGAAATGAGATTTTAATGATATGAAGGTTAGAAAAATAAAACCTCACACGTCTCTGCTGTGCTGCCGGTCAGGGTGTGTGTGCCAGTGTGTTAGTCTGTGGCATGTGTGCTAATATATTGTACTTTTTGTTTTGCGTCTCTTCAGAGGAACTTTCTATCAGCTTCTCAGTGTCCAACTCCCAGATACAAGAAAATGTGGTGAGTCGTCACTCATATGTTTGATGTTTGTGTCCAAGTTTGAAAGTGTTTTTTAAAGCATGAATGTCACTGATGTGTTTAATGATTCAGAGAAGCAAATGTTTGATTCAGCTCAGAAGAGACGACCAGTGTCCAGATGTTTTCTGTTACTCACTCTACAGCAGCGTTGGCTCGCACACCTGGATTGGAAATATAAAATCTTTCATTTTTACTACTCTTGAAAGAGTGAATTACAGAAAAGTGACTAAAAGCCAACACATAGAAGATTTCCCACATACCAGCAACACCTCCTTCACATCACCACCACTGTCCTGTTTCACAACAATCATAAATTTGATCACAGCCACTCTCACAATGACATATCCAGGCTAATGTTCTGTGGCTGTGTCGTCTTTGTTATTATTAACAAAAGAGACCAAATACTGTGGCTCTCAGCTCCAAACCGGTTGGTTACTACTGAAGGTGTAAAACTTTAAAACAGCCTTTTTACTGTAGTTTTTACCAAGCGTTACTCAAACAGGAGAAAACAGTGCATTTGCTGGGGACCATTTTCAGCGGCAGATGATTCCACCTTTGACTGATTCAGAGTTTTTTGTTTGAGTTTAATTTGACAACATCTGAAACCAGCCTGATCTTGCTCTTGTTCAGGACATCAGTTCGGTGTATCAGATCTTTGCTGATGAGGTCCTCGGCTCAGGACAGTTTGGAGTCGTCTATGGAGGTGAGACATGCTGGCAGAATGAACATTGTTTCGTTCTTTTGTTTGGATTAGAGAAACGATCAGCCTGGGTCATGGTTCCCTTCTTCAATTCCCATAGCTTCAGTCTCAGGTGAATTGTAGGTTAATAAAAGAAAAACATTCTCCCTTTCATCACCCCCCTATAGGTAAGCACAGAAAGACGGGCAGAGACGTGGCAATCAAAATCATTGATAAGATGAGGTTTCCTACCAAGCAGGAGAGCCAACTGAGGAACGAGGTGGCCATTCTCCAGGTACAGCACGCACGCTGTTCAGACATCCATCCATCATCTGTATCACTCATTCCTGAATAGGGTTGTGCATGGAGGAAGAGTGCAGGAGCCAATCTCAGCTGACACAGGGCGAGAGGCAGGGTCCACCCTGGACAGGTCACCAGTCTGTCACAGGGCTGACATGTAGACAAACAACCACACTCAGTCCTATGGGCAGTTTAGAGTCACTGATTGATTGATTGATAGATAAACTGAAACCTTCCACTTACGGACTTTTGGAAACTTAAGTGCATCTGGAGACAAGTCTGAAAGTCACATTAATCTTTAATTTAATTCACATGATCTAGAGCATTTTATTAATTATTGGCTTTATCTTTCTTTAGGATTTCTTAAGTTGATCAAGTGCTGAAATACATAAAACAGAAACCATAAGCCTTAACTAAACAAAGTTTAGTTTTGCCGTCTTGTCTCTGACAGAACCTCCACCACCCCGGCATCGTTAACCTGGAGTGCATGTTTGAGACGCCCGAGCAGGTGTTCGTCGTCATGGAGAAGCTTCACGGCGACATGTTGGAGATGATTTTATCCAGCCAGAAGAGTCGACTGCCTGAACGCCTCACTAAGTTCCTGGTTACACAGGTCAGTGACGACCACAGACCTCTGATTTGATCACCACGTCCTACACTCGGAACGAGACACACTCAACATCTCAGGCACCAACACTCAGGTCTGACGTTTTAGTCAGACCTGAGTGATCTGAGTGAGTGAGATGGACCTAGATCTGAGTGAGCTGATCTTTTTGTGTTGATGCTTCATATTCATGGTTGTAAGTCACATGTAATGTGCAGATTATTTACTTGAAAAATGTATTAATGATTTGGTCTAATTGATTAACTGATTAGCTGTAATGCTAATGCTGTGCTGACAGCTGGACCTGACTGGCCAAAACACCAGTTAATGTATTTTTAAACATGGCGGTGTGGATCTAGAATGAGGCAGCCTGATGAAAGGAGAGAAGAGCCACTAAGTTTTTGTTTTAGGATAAGCGCAAGATACAACCAGGACTTGTTTTTACCTGGTTTGCTGCTGTGTTAAATCAGTGTACACGTTGTGTCCACAGATCTTGGTGGCCCTCCGACACCTTCACTTCAAGAACATCGTCCACTGTGACCTGAAGCCTGAGAATGTCCTCCTGGCCTCGGCAGAACCCTTCCCTCAAGTCAGATCATTTTTACAACTGGATTTATTGTCTCTCTTTTTCTGTTTAAAACATTTGCCACTGACGTCAGCGACACTATCACTACTTTACCACATTCTGTGACATGGCTGACATGTAGTCTCTGATTTTTTTCCCTCCAGGTGAAGCTGTGCGACTTTGGCTTCGCTCGTATCATCGGGGAGAAGTCGTTCCGCCGGTCAGTGGTCGGCACTCCAGCTTATTTGGCGCCCGAGGTGCTCCGCAGCAAAGGCTACAACCGATCTCTGGACATGTGGTCAGTGGGCGTCATCATCTACGTCAGTCTGAGCGGGACGTTTCCCTTCAATGAAGATGAGGACATCAACGACCAGATCCAGAACGCTGCCTTCATGTACCCGGCCAACCCCTGGAAGGAGATCTCCAAGGAGGGTAGGGACAGTTGTGGGCTCCTGTGTGACACTTTATCATGGATCAAATCATAGATTCTGCTATTTAAAATATGGTATAGTACCACAGCTGAATGATAATTCATAACTCCATAAACAGCTTGTGGCAAAGCAGAGTCAAGACTAGAGCTGCAACAACTGGCAAAGTTAATCTGCACCTGCAGCTACAGTATATTGATAACTGATTAATTCTTAGCTTCTTTTTTGCTGACAGTAAGGCCCCACCTCACCAGTGGTCTGGCATCATGGCTGATTTTAAAGCAGATCTCCTGAGTCTGTTTGTCTTTACAGCCACAGACCTGATCAACAACCTGCTGCAGGTGAAGATGAGGAAGCGCTACAGCGTGGACAAGTCGCTGAGCCACCCCTGGCTGCAGGTCACCAAACTGTTTTGTACTTTTACACCATCAGCAAACTGTAAAAGGTGACACGTTTCACTTTAGTCTACAATCACACTGTAAAAGTTAGAGGTGGCCACATAATTAATATTCACAGTTTCATACTTCATTGCTCTGTTGAATGGAAGTTCAGGAATCTTCAGGGATGAAATAAACCCTGCCAGGTCCTGAGTGGTTTCTGTGTAGCACAGCCACCAGTGCTGCACTTTGAGGACTTTACAATGAAAACACAACCAAGCCTTATCACAGCAACAAGGTCCTGGGTTTCGATTGGTGTGTTTTGTTTTTTTTAAACTGTTGTCATTGTCGTCTTGCAGGACTACCAGACCTGGCTGGACCTCAGGGAGTTCGAGACCCGTCGAGGTGAACGCTACATCACCCACGAGAGCGACGACGCCCGCTGGGAGGAGTACGCCGACGACAGAGGCCTGCACTACCCGAAACACTTTATCATGTCCCACAACCTGGATGACATGGATGAGGATCCCTAGAGGCCACAGAGGGTCAACATCTCCGAAGAGGAAACGGCAGACCCCGAGAAGTCCCTCGGTGGTTGTAGCGCACACTCTGGGGTCCATGGAAACGGTCACCATGGACACAGCCAGCTGTCCCTGTAGTGGCGCAAGATAGGGTGGACAGCGAGGACACAGTGGCAACAAATCAGGTCCAGAGAAATTTTTAACATTTATTTTTTTCCTGTTTTTTTTCTAGAAGTCCTAACAAACAGACTGAGCCGAACTCTGGAGAGATTTTTTTGTGATGGTCTCTTATATAATCGTCTTCACTGCCAGTCCAGCTGGAGAAGGGCTTACAATCCAGCACAGACCTTATATAGTTTTTCAGCAACATATTTTTGTTACTTCATTGTTACATTTTAGATCACATAACACTGTGCAGAGGAGCTGGAGAGCTATTTCATACTTAAAGCTGGAACAGAAGAAACAAATGAGCCTTGAAGATGTACTGACTGTTGTTGTTCTTCACTGTTGGGATGCTTTGCACTATAGGGGAAACCTTTAAAGGAGAACTTGCCTGGTAATAACTTGTTTGTTCATCTGCAAAAGTATAAAATTTCCCTCTAGTTTATGAATGTTTCTTATTAGAATTTAATAAGCCAAATTAGTACTAGTACTCTTGGTACCATGAATTTTTAATCCATGGAGGTTTTACATCTGTAAAACTTTCCCAAAGCCTAAAAAAACATTTATTTCCATGGTGTCTTCCCAATGTAAAGTCAATATCCCAGTGTGGGTCTCATAATACATGCATGTTTGAGACCACAAGCATGTGGACCTTTCTCAGATGCACATCAGGACACATGATCAATAAGGACATCCCGTTACTCCTGCAAATACAAATGTGATGGCACAGTCCAGCTCAGATGATTTGTTGGAGTAGGTAGGATCAGACCCAATGTGTTGCCTTACATACAACTTGAACAAACTGATAAAACGTTCAACTTTCATCTTTGACAAAGGGAAACATTCGGCTGAATACTGTGTTGAAGGACTAGGGGAAGTCACAGCTAGTGTTCGTGTTTTTCTGACAAGACACACCTGCTTACGACCAAAAGGCCTGTGAACATGTGCTTAATAGTCCAGATCAACAACATTAAACTCTGCTGCTGCACCTACAGACAGTATACTTCTGCAGGAAAACAAATTGTTATTATCAGTGACTGAAACTGGGGCTGACAAGCTGAGAACCAAGCTGCTACTCTGCTTCTGAGCAAACCTTTGTGACACTGCAGTGTCGTTGATCCTGATCTGACTGCAGCCTGAGAATTTATTTCACGTTTTATATTTTTACTAGAAGCTTTGTGTCATGGATCATTTTGAGAAAATATTAAAGATGAATTAAAAGCTTTCAGAAACCTTTTACAACCTGATGCTTTTTGAACTGAAATCCTCACAAATGTCTGAACCAGCTTCAAATCTACCATAAAACTGCTGCATGCACGTATGAGTATAACTAAGTATTTGTTTTCATTTCTACAAGCCAGTTTTAAAAAGATGAGCTAAGAGCAGTCCTGCAGGAGGAGCTAATGGGGTGGAAAACAAAAAGGTTTAAGGGTTATTAATATTTTTATTGGTTTTATTGCCAATAAAAATCTTACCATCATAGTTTCAGCTACTTTTCTTTTGCCCTGCTGAATATTCAGGTGTAGAGGAGGCGATCATTTTCATGTTCATTACAGAAGAACACGAAGTGATCATGGCATAACCCCTGGAACTGATCGATAATGTGCTGCCACTAGGTGAGAAGTTTTCAGTTTAGATATGAAGACATAATCTGAACCAAAGGGTTTCAAACATTTTGTCTCAGAGTAAAGTCAGACTTAAAGGCACAACTGGTCAGTTTCAGAGAAACTATTAAAATCCCCTAATTATTCCCAAATGAATGAGTCAGACTGTAAAGAAAAAAGAGGAGGCTCCTGAAGGAGAGGAAAAGCTGAGAACGAGCCCCAGCAGGATGTTTGGAAATGATCTCTCACTTCCCACTGAGCATGACGGCCTCACTGTGCAGCTCCTCTGGAGGGTGGCTGCTTGTTTTGGCAGCAGCAGCCGTCACACATGCTCCTGAAGCTTTTAATTGCTACCGGACGAGCATTAGGTGTGTTGTGAGTGGCTGCTGCACAACTGTGAGCTCAGCTAACTGCTTCCAGATGTGGACGGTGGCAGGCAGCTGAGCGACGACACTTCAGGGAGGGAAGAGACCCTCCTGCAGCAGGGTGACCTCTGACCTCAGGCGGTGTCACAGTTTATGAGGTGTCAGTGCTGCTGTGAGTTTCAGGGACTCAAAGTGGAGAACTTGACTGAAAATAAAAATGGGCTCTTGTACAAACTGTTTGTCACCCACTAAACAATAAATGAGAAAAAAGCTGATGATTTTTAATCTTGTATTTTTATGTTACAATTATTTTACAGTTGATGTAAAGAAAATACATATTTTAGCTTCACATCAGCTTGGACGTCCTATAGAACCTGATGCAGTAAAGCAAATCTTCATGCGTTCTGTAAATCTGAAGTGTCGTCCTCCTGTCTGGATGCTGTACCATGATCAAATCACAGAACTCTCAGCCCTAAACCTCTCTAGAAAAGAACTGTTTCCAGATTTTCTGAACTGCTGATTGTCTAAGACCAGTCTCCTTTAAGAGAAGCTGAGCTCGGTGAACCCGGCCACTGGTAGCGGCACCGGACTCTTCTTCTTCTCCAGCTTCAGTCCCTCTGTTCTCTTAGGCTTGGTGAGGCGGCTGTGCTGCAGCAGGCTGAAGAAGTGGAAGCGCTCGCCCATCTTGGCGGGGCTGGTCAGCATGTCGTAGCCGCTGATCAGCTGCTGCCTGGTGGACGAGTCAGAGCAGCTCCTCAGCAGAACCTGCAGAGAACCACAGGGGGAGCTAAGGGTCTTGCTCCTGGTTCCAGTCAGAGCACCTTCCTCTCAGTCAGTACTATGTCATACTAACTGCAGAAGAAGAGAGTTAAACCTCTGCCTCCAAGTGAGCAACTGATAAATCATTTAAAATAAAATGACCTACTGATGTGGCTTTACATAAACCGAGCAGAAGATTTTCATAGAAGCCCTGCAAACCAAACACTTACGAAACTGATCTGAGCAAATTCTACTTTGATTCAACTCCTGATCATATTAGCTGAATTTATAACTACCATCACCTAAATCTCAAGCCTGGCCTCACGCCTCTTAGTGAAAAAATAATGTGTGCACAAATTAAAATGAATAACCCGGCCTCACGCCTCTCAGTGAAAATTTAATGTGTGCACAAATTAAAATGAATAACCCGTGCACATTAGTGACCATGTCATGCTCGTAAATGATAAATTTATGAGCACAAATGACCGAATAACTTGAAGAGATCAGTGTGCATAAATTAACACAACACAACATATCTAAGGGATGTTAAAGATGGCATAAGGTTATTTAGGTAAATATTATTATTATTATTATATTTAGGTATAAAAAAAAAACTGCATCAGAGTGAAGAGGCTCAATCCATGACCTGAAGCTCAGCATGCGCACAAATGTTTTTCTTCAGGACGCTTTCTGAGCACCATATCAAACATCACCTATTACAGACATAAGGTATACATTATTGTTTATAATATTATCAGTGCATTGATTGGATTAAATCATTCCTCTGCAAAAACAAGTAAAAGAAACAGGACATAAAGCAACGTACAAGGCAGCACCATTAGCTTTATATCCTGGTATTGCTGGCCACAAACAGAGATACTATACATAGATATCTAATCATCATTCACGCTGTATGACAAATTAATACATCAGTGATTAATAATTGTGTTTACATGATCACTCCCTGTCTGTACACAATTCTTTTTATTTTTCTTTTGTTTACTTGTTTGATGTTTTCGGTCTTTGTCTGGACTGTTACTTTTCCAGAAAGGTGCACATTTTGATAAGCACCAGATGGAATTTGACGGTAAATATAAAGAAACGCTGTGTTCACATGTGAAATATACAGTTTAAATGCCTGATACCAATTTTCTATAAAATCTAAAAATAAATAAGTACTTGTGATCACAGTATTCTGGCTTCCATTTTATCTCCAGTGAAGTGATGAAACTCTGCAGACAGACTCACCTGCAGTCGGGTGTCGATGCCCATGTTCTTTAGGAACGTCCTCTGATTGACAGGTCCCAGACAGGCCACGCCCCCTCCAGCCATCCTTCGCAGGTAGCTAAAATCTACGTCAGCGGTGAGGTCGGCTGAGCCGGGGGACTCCAGGACGTCATGAAGCTGGTGACCTTTAAAACCCTGAACAAAACAGGGTTGAGCCTGAGATGTTTGGAAGTGAACAGTTTTTCATCAGTCTGATGTTCACTTCATTTCTCTGAGCCCAGGACCCCTCACACTGAGTAGTAACCAGTTTGTGGTTAAAGCACCGTCACATCACTACAGAACTTTGTGTTACATATTACATAGTCGTTCATTGATAAAAACTCTTCATTCGTTATTTGTAAAACATCACGTTGCTTTTTATGTTTATACAAAACTGTACGTGTATCAGAAAACATGTGTGAACAACTGTGTTGTACCCTAAATGTATCCGTCTTGGTTCCGTCGTGGCCATAGTCGGCGATCAGCGCTGCGCCGCCGTCCTCTGCGATCCGTCGGGCCAGCTGCTGGATGATGACCCCACCCTCTGCACACACCTCCACATGATCCCGCCTTTCATCTGCCTGACACACACACACACACACACACACACACACACACACACACACAGAATCAATCAATAATCAATCAGTTCACTCTCAGTTCATCTCGAGTCTGACTGCTGTGTGAACACCAGTCGGGTTTCCAGACTTTTTTAAGGGCAACAAAAACATTTTGATAATGAATCAAATTGTCATATTTTCTGATTCAAGTCTTAAATGTTTGACATCACTGTAAACTGAACATGTCTGGATCTTCTGCTTGAACAAAAACAAGACATATGAAAGCATGACCTTGAGCTCTGGGAACATTTTATTAACTATTGCAGTGTTATCCCTAATAGTGAATGGTTATTTGAACTCAGTAAGTACATGGTCAATAGTCTAGTTTATTCCAACTCGCCCTCAAACGGCCTCTTTGTCTCCGGTTATAATTAGTAATTTCCTCCATTTCCCCGGAGGTTTATGTTCTCCGCCGCATGTTCACCACAAGCCAGAGCTGTCCTGGGGACCTTTGAAACACCACAGAATCATTTCTTCATTATATCACATTTTTACTCCTCCACAACAATGTACAACACTAATTTCTAATAATAACTAATTCTATTAATATGGCCTGGACCCAGATAAGTGGCATAGAATGGACAGATGGATAAACCAATTTAAAAACTGGATTTAAACCTGCGCTCACACTGATAATTCAGCAGCAGTAACAATGTTGGCTCCAGGTCTAACATACAGAGGACCTGCAGATGTCCTCACTGATTCAGAAACACCTTCTGGAAAAATCTAGACCTGCTGTGTGTTGGACTCATCGCCCAGAGTCAGCAACATCTGGGTTGTTTCTTCCCTCTGTGGACCTAGAAACCAGTGACAGCAGCTCATTGGTTCAACTGTGATACACAGACGCCCTCAGTGCGAACTGGATCCTCGTCCTCTTAAAAACTACCTTATACAGTCTCATGGTTTGTCTGGTTTGATGTGGACGGTGAACTCAAACTGGATTTAAGAGCAGGGTTCTTCATCCAAACACGCAGCCGATGAGGATGATGATGTCCGGCCTCCAGCAGGATGTTCTGGATAGCAGAGCACAGCCAGAGAGGCCAAAACAAACAGGCTGTAAATGTATAGATGGTATAAATGTGGGCAATAAAAACCAGATGGAGGCTGTAAAACAACCCTCCAGGAGTGAGGAGTTCATTTCCACAGTGAGATTAAAGTTCTTCAGTCCCCTCTGACATTTGTGTTTGAGGTTTTCACCGACTGAATGAACCTTCCTTGTTTTCACATTTGTTGCCTTTCCTCATTTACACATATCTGTTTTAACACAGGGTCAAAACAAGGAACTCAAAAGAGAAATATATCGTTAGACTTTGTCATCTTTAACTTTTTTTATCTCAACGATCGTCTCTGAAGGGAAATATCTGACCTGCACGAGTGTGGACGAGGCCAGGGTGGGAGACGGCGTCACCACAAACCTCAGCCGGTCCGGCTTCTCTGGATCGATGTCCACCATCACCTCCCTCCAGCCTTTCTCCGTCCTCTGCCCAAAGCAGACAAACACAGACTCAGGCACAAACACCTTAAAGGAAACCTCAGTATGAACCAGACACCAGAGACACGTGGCTGAAAAGGTGGACAGCAGTTTTTGTTTCCTGTTCTGGTTTCTTCAAACAATTTAATGTTCGATCAACTTTAAAAAGAAGCACAAAGAAGAATCTCTTCATAGCTTCCAGTTTGTTAAAGGCAAAACTCTAAAAAATGGTAAAGGGACTGTATTTTATATAGCGCTTTCTCACAGTGTGTTGCACTGGCCAAAGTGCTTTACAGAAGATCATACACCATTCACCCATTCACACACAACATTCACACACCGATGACGACAGGCTGCCATGCACCGGCGCTAGTCAAGCCACCGGGAGCAATTCGGGGTTCAGTGTGTCTTGCTCAGGGACACTTAGGCATGCGAGGAGACCGCACATTTACCATTTACCAAAACTCTAACTTAATTCTAGAATTCAGCTAGAAAAATGTTACTTAATGTTGTTTAACTCCTATCACACAGAACATGCTGCATCTGGATCCAGTGGATGTTGAGTTTGGACCGTAGGCTGTAGTTTTAATTTAAATAGAAAGTCAGAAATGCAGCTAGTTCTACAAATAGAGTGGGTGGAATTATATGTACAGTAGTTTTCGCATTCCCTTAGTGGCAAGGACCAGATGTTTTATTTCATCCTGCCATCTGGTGGTAAACATTTAAATGACACCATGGTGGTCAGCAGCAGTGCCACTACGACTGGGGAACTGATGAGAACGGGCTGAAAGTAATGCAGTACTCTACAGGAATCCATTGTCTACAAACAAATACTAATGGAAAGTTTTATGATCACATAAAAACTCTGTGTTCTAAACTGTACCTGGAACTTGTGGATTGGCAGAGCGTCAAAGAACTCATGAGCAAGAAAGATGCTGAATCCTGGGAACAAAAAGAAACTGACTGTAAAATGATTAACAAATTTTTTACCTGTTTATAGTGTAAGACCACAGAGAATACAAGCAGGAGTGTTTCATGTGTCCTCTACAGTAAGTGACAAGGTAAAATGAGTATTTTTAGAGGAATAAAGCTCTAAGACACCCAGAGGAAAGCAAGCACATATTGTTATAATGAACTATGTTGTTCATTAGAGGCTCGTTGTTGTTAGCTGTCGACTTGGTGCCTGGAGTTACATGCACATGGGTATTTGGCCTATCACGTCCTTTTTAAATGGACATTTTTACTACCATCTGATAACATGACTTCACCTGAACTACTGCTGAGTAGATTACCTGATCTGACTTCACACAGACAGCCAGCACTCTCTTCTTATCTTTTGTCTCATTATTTATTAATACCACATTAAGTACATTGTTAGTTGCAGTACTAACAGCAACAGCACGTATAGTAGTATATGAACTGACAGTTTCAGTAGTTGCTTTGGGAGCAGTAATAATTGTTGTACTCTGGGTTTTCCAACCTGATAAGAATTTTCTTGTACAAACACCTGGCATTTTGTGGCCAAATTTCCAGCTGCTTTAATCCAAACCTGTCTCCAGCTGCTGTGTACCTGTGGGGACGTCGTCTAAGCAGCGGTACCAGGACACCGGCAGGCCAGCTGTGGTTTCCCCATGGCGGTAAACTGGCTCGTCCTCAGCGTCTGCATCCTGGCTGCGGTTCACAGTCAGATTCTGGGCCTGAAGCCGACTTAGAGCTGGACTCACTTCGACAAGGTGGAGCGATACTGAGGCGTCGCTCAGCACCGACTGCAGCTGACTGAAGACCTGATCAACAAACAGATGGTTGTCACAGATTGGAAGTAACTACACAATGTTATGTTAAAATGTGGTGTCTTTAGTGAACCGCAAATACAGGAAGAATACAGTAGGAAATGAAGGTTGTGTAAACTAATAAATAAACAGAATAAAACCAGAAAAATAGATGCACGGAAAAATGTATGGCCTAAAACTTCAACTTCAAGCCTGTTTTAAAACAGGTTTCTCTCCTGGGCATCCTCTCCTGAACATCTTATATACACATGCAAATCCCATCTGCACATGTTTGTGCAAACCATGAAGATTAAAAATTTAGTTTTTGGTGCAATCTCAGTGTTTCTACTATTTCATAGTAGAAACAGATGACGTTTCATGGCAACTTCATACTCTGAGGACATCACTGGCCAGTGATCCTTTTCCAGGTCCGAGCTCGACCAGCTGCAGCTGTTTGGGTTGACCTGCTCCCATCCACTCGCTGATGACCCACACGCCGAGCAGCTGCAGGAGAAAACAACAGACAGCAGGAGGGGATGATCAAAGACAAGCAGAGAGGTACCTGCTGATGTGATGGTATAGCATATGTAGAAAAGACTGAAACAGTCAATGATCTAATTCAGTGAGACAATATCTGTCTAAAACTTACTAATTTTAGTTAACCTCATGCATCATATACTACTGGAGTGTTTCACCGCTTATGAAACCAGCGGTAAAACAGGGTCTGAATTTTTGCAGCCTCACCTCTCCGAAAATCTGACTGATCTCTGGTGACGTGATGAAGTCTCCGTCTGGTCCCAGCATGTCATTCCTCACATAATAGCCCTGAAAGAGTCGATGAATCAGTTAAGGATGATGACTTGTTTCTGGCTTCAGAAAGCCAGATGAAAACAAATTCCAGTTCACTCCAAAACATAAAGACACAGATGTCTCATCAATGTAAATAACTGACACACTGGATTTAATGAGTAATATTAGTCAAGTCTAAATGTCAAACACTTGCTGGTTCGCTGTTCCTCTCTGGTCTATGACCTGCAGGTGGTCGGGCTGTGACAGACTCAGGGTGAGTCGTCATCACTCACCGTCACAGGATTGGTGAGCACCTCCCTCATGTACTCTGCCACTGGAATAGGACCTGTCGCTTTTATTTTGGAGGTCAGGTGTCGTAACATGGATGGTCGGGGCATTTCCTGGTCTGGGCAGGAGCTGCAGCAGAGTCGGCTCTGAGCTGCTCGCCATCGCACTGACAACAAAGACAGACTGTGAATAGTCCAAACCTAGTCCTGAATAAGAAGTCCATGAACATAAAGGCACCTTTCACCCAAAACCATGAGGTGACATCTTGAACCTCCATCAGGATCTGTCCATGCAGATAGTGAATTTCTGGGGTTGTGTCCTGCTTTAGGAGTCTGATGTTAATCCTGAACTAAAAATGTTTCTAAATTTAAAATGTCCTGAATTTAAAGTTTTGATTTACATATTAGATTAATTGACTAATCAATTGGTTGAGCAGCAGGAAATTCAATAAAAGCAACTGAATATTATAAACAATTAATCAATGGAGTATTTTCGGCCAAAATGGTAAAAAATAAAATTAAAAAAAAAATCGCAAATTCCAGCTTCTTCAGATGAAGACCTGCTGCTATTTATGACAATAAAATAAATAATTATCTGTTATTTCTGTGCTGGTTGAATCAAGCAAAATTAAAATATGTCCCCTTGGGCTGTGGAAAATTCTAATTCTAGGCATTTTCACCCATTTCAGACGTTTTATAGACAAATCACTTAATTCAAAAAATTTGTAGACGAATCCATAATGTAAATAACAATTTGTTTCAGCCCTAATAAAATGAATGAGTGGGAGAGAATAACATAGAAAATACGTGTATAATTAAACTTATTTAGTAAATTTTTGCATCCAGTATCAGAGAAAACATGTAAATAACACGTCCTTCACATGTCACAGTACAGAAAGAGTCTTGCATTCCACCAGGCTGTGCGCTGGTTGCTGATCTAAAGTAAATCATGATATGTTTACATCAGTGCTCTCACCTGCTGCTGATTGACTGACAGGACGAATGAAGACTCTATTCATCAGCTGCTGGGTTTTAAAGAGAAAAGCTCTCATTCTGTTGTATGCTTGTCTCAATGCAACCAGAATATTGTTATAACATTTTGGCCTGGTCGTATTTGACGAGACCAGTATAACGTTAAGTAAAGGTTAACTTCAGGCACATGGACCAGCTTTCTCCTCTGCTCTGCTCTGACAAGATTAGCATTAGCCAGGACCAGCTTTCTCCTCTGCTCTGACAAGATTAGCATTAGCCGCGCTAGCTACATATACGTTGATGGCCACAAACAAACACAACCACAGAGTAAAATAATATTTTAGCTTCGGGTGTAAAAGATAAAAATATGCATGTGTTAATTTGTGTTCGTCTGTCGTTTAAAGTTAATACAAGCAACAAAGTCCTTGTGCTGAAGCGAAATGCTAATGCTAAGAGATGATGAATTATAACTAGCCACAATCCCAGTGGTTGTTATGAACGATATAACATCCGGATATCCTTTCACAATAACACATTTTTGTTTGTCAGGGGTGAGCTTACAATGGTAATTAATACTTTTATTTTGAAAACAAAATATTACTGCATTTTCTGTATTACTTTACACCACCCAGTGACAACAAAGTCTCTGATTGAACGACAGTCGCTGACGTAGTTTCGAGGAGAAATGTGATTGGCTCGGATGAACCGCTGACCTCTTGCTTGTTTTTTCAAGTTGCGAACATAAAACAAAAATTAAACCAATGAAAACAATATTATATGTTTCTTTTGTTCTGTATTATCTTTTTAAATTAAAACAGCGTAATGGACGGGAAATGGATAAAATGTTTCAGAAACGTTGACGTCACGTCGCCTTTTTCATCCGGGTCACTGTCTTCACGTTGAAGCAAGCATGGCAGCGAAAAATAAGCATCGCAAAAAATCAAAAGTGCCTTTTCAGCTTGAAGAAAACGACCTGGAGGCTGAAAACAGCAGCAGAGATGAGGATAAAGATAAAGACAGGCCCAAGAAAGTTGAAGAAGAGTTCAGTCTGGAGGAGGTTTTACGGCTCGGAGGAACACAGGTGAGTTAAAGCAGCACTGCATTCAGAACGTCGTTGGGTTCTCTCCTTATTTATCCTGGGTGTTTTAGAGGGATGACCCATTCACCCACTTGCTTAATTTTTTTTTAATACAGATGAGTTGTTTTCTGAGGTTGACATTTTAAATATTTCTAAAGTTGCTTTAACACATGAACTAAACTTCGTGCTCTTCAATTCGACAGTAAATGTTTTTTTAAATGGTTTTGAGTTGTAATATTTAACTGATAGTTTTGTGTCCAATATGAAAATTCATAATGATTGCATGACTAGATCTACAGCCTTTGCTTAAGATGTTGATGATCTGGTTAATCGATTAATGGTTTTGACTATAAAATGTCAAAGTTGTGGAAAAAAATGCTCTAGCACAAGTTCTAGGAGGTTACGGTTAATTTATAATATACAAAACAGAAAAAGCTGCATATTTTAATATAAGGCCAATGCACAAGTGTTCCTCACATTTTGGTGATGTTCTCTGTCTGCTCTAGAGCGGTCTAGCACTAAGAAAATAGCTTTTAATCTAATCATATGTTGTTGTTCTTCTCTTTTGCATGTAGGCTGACTACATCCTCCTCGCCAGCCTGGACGACTCCAATGAACTTGTCGATGGAGGAAAAAAAGGAGCCATAGATGATCTAGAGGAGGGTGAGCTGGAGAATTTCATCACCAAACTGGGCATCCAGGCATTCGCTGGGCAGCAGATCATTGCAGACAAGCCTGAGGGCAACAATGATGCACACATGAAGGAAAGTAAAAAGGCCAAAACCAAGAAAGCTTTGGCAGAGGAACAAGTATCTGATGCTCCGGAGAAGGTTAGCAGTGATCTGGGAATGGAGGACAGACAGAAGGCGAAGAAGGCAAAAGATGTTCAGAGAGTTGCTGGGAAAAAGGCAAAACAGAATGCAAATGTGTTTGAGTTTCAGCAGAGGCAGGTCCTGCTGATCAAACCTGGGGGGAAATGGTTTCACCTAGAATACACAGCCGAGGGCTCATCAACACCACAGGATCCCCAGCTGGTCTCCCAGTACAAGATGCTTGCCCAGCAGCTGTTTGAGGCTGAAGTGGAACTCTACAAGACCAAGAAGAATCTGCAGAAAGGAGCCAACTCCACCTGGATGAAGACGGTTGTCTCCTCAGGTGTACTGGCTGACAGGATGGCAGCCATGACTGTTCTGATCCAGGATGCCCCAGTGCACACGCTGGAGCATGTGGAGAACCTGGTGAGCATGGTGAAGAAGAAGGGCAGCCGACGGATGGGTCTGATGGCTCTGGACACACTGCGAGAGCTACTGCTCTCTGACCTGCTACCGGAGGACAGGAAGCTTCGCCCCTTTGCGCAACACCCATTCGACCTGCTAGAGGAGAAGGCCAGCGGCAACCGTGATGCACGAGACCGCCGCCTTGTCCTCTGGTACTTTGAGCACCAGCTAAAGCACCATGTGGCCGAGTTTGTGGCAGCTCTGGATGTGGTGGCTCATGACACAGTGGCGGCCACTAAAGCAAAGGCACTGGCCACTGCCCAGGAGCTGCTCTGCAACCACCCGGAGCAGGAGAGGGCGCTGCTCATTCAGGTGGTCAACAAGCTGGGAGACCCTGAGTACAAAACAGCAGCTAAAGCATCGTACCTCCTAGAGACACTGCTGCACAAACACCCCAATATGAAGGTGGTGGTGTGCTGTGAGGTGGAGCGGCTCATGTTCCGGCCCAACATCAGCACGAAGGCACAGTATTACGCTGCCTGCTTCCTCAGCCAGGTCAAGCTGAGCCACAGCGAAGCTGAGCTCGCCGCCAAACTCATCACAATCTACTTCACATTTTTCCGTGCCTGCATCAAGAAAAAGGACGTGGAGTCTAAGATGCTGAGCGTGCTACTGTCAGGTGTGAACAGGGCATATCCCTATGCCAGCACTGGAGATGAGAAGGTGAGGGAGCAGCTGGACACGCTGTTCAGAGTGGTTCACGTGGTGAAGTTCAACACGGCCGTGCAGGCACTCATGCTGCTGTTCCAGGTGATGGACTCCCAGCAGAGCATCTCCGACCGATACTACGTTGCACTATACAGGTAAGAGCAGCCTCACCTGGCAGCTTGTAGCGCTCTCATTTTTCCCCAAATCCACATTCCTGGTTAGGATTGTAGTTTTAAAATCAGTCCCTTGAATTCCAGACAATTCCACACAATGTCCAGACAGGGAAAGCCAGGGATTTTGACAAATCCAGTGGAAAAACTGTGAAATGTCTGGGAACTTTAACTTTACCCAGAACACAACAAATTATATTTCAGCTTCAGTCAGTCCTGCCAGAAATGTGTTACCTTACAAGAATCTGTGCAAAACTCTATAAAACTGTGCAGTCTTTGAAAAGATCTAAAGCATTTTGTTGTTATTCCACACTTGAACTGGTAAAAAAAATACATACCATATGTTACTGTGGTGCTGTCAGACAAGCTTAAAGTCAAAGAAAGTGAATGTTCGGGTGATTACAGACAAAGCAAAGAGAATCAAAACATCGACTTTTCTTCTTCTTCTTCTATGCAGGAAGATGTTGGACCCTGGACTATTGTCGTCTTCCAGGCAGGGCATGTTCCTCAACCTGCTGTACAAGTCTCTGAAGGCCGACATCGTGCTGCGGCGCATCAAAGCCTTTGTGAAGCGACTGCTGCAGGTCAGCGCCGAGCAGAGCGCCAGCTTTGCCTGTGGAGCGCTCTTCCTGGTGTCAGAGGTCATGAAGACCAAGCCTGGCCTCAAGATGCTGCTGCGGGGTGACGGGGTGAGATGGTCATACATATTGGCACCAATAAATCTGTGTATTTTTATTTTGTTAAGAAATGTTTTTGTTTATTTTAATATAAATTCTAAAAGTATATTATGTTAAGGCATTTACCATAAAACTACAATTGTCTGAGTCCATGTCTTCCATCAATGGTATGATATGTTGGTGTAACATATTGAAAGTACAAACAAGAGACAATACTGTGACACTGCGGTTCCACAAGAAAATATTAAATATCACAAACTTACTGTAACTTGGAGAAGCCTGGGTGAATAAGTGAAGGTCATGGCTCTTTTCCATAAGCCTCTGTGCACGTACGAAATCCATTAAAGCAGTGTTCTCAGGTCACACACACCTTACGTTTTTCATGTATTCTGGGGTTTGTTCATTTTTCTTACCAGAGCTGTCAGAAGCGGGGACAGACACTCCCAAACACACACAATTGTTTCCAAATGAGTGAATATTGGATGGTATTATTTAAAAAAAAGGGGGGCCTGTCATGTGGGCATGGCAGCCCTCCATACCTGTACTATTATAGGAGAAACACAGAGTTGTAAGTTGGTTATGAGCATGAGTCCCTGCTGTGTTCATGCAGGACGGAGAGGAGGAGAACTTCAGAGATGTTGCTGAAGAGGAGGATGATGATGACGATGATGAAGAGGAGCTCTAAAACCGGGCCGATAAGCTGGAGGATGGAGTGTGTGCCGAGCCACAGAAGGCCAAAGCTCCAGCATCATGGGTGCATCACCAGAACCTGGAAGGTCTGTGAACCACTTTGATTCCCATCAGCTCTGATGTTTATGGTCAGCGTTTGTTGTTTGGTGTTACTGCTGATTGTTTAGTCAGTCGGGCTCGCCGTGCATCTCACCCGGGACAAGAGCTTCTCTTTTTTTTCTTTTCTCTCAGAGGTTTTAATTGTAATATTCCGCTTCCGTTTACTTCCAGGAAGGAAGAGCACGCAGTGCTACGACCCTCTGCACAGAAACCCGCTGTTCTGCGGCGCTGATCACACAACTTTGTGGGAACTACAGAGGGTGAGAAACACACAACAATAAGAACAAAGGACCCTTTGCTTAATTGGGATCAGGTCCAGCCTGATGTGTTGAGGCACTGAATATTGGTAGTTTTAGTCAGCAGTTAAAAAAAATCTAAAACCGGGTTCATTTAGTTCGGAAACATTGAATAAACCAGAGACAGTTTTAGAAATCATCTGAAGGGTTTTGATTCTGTGTATTGTTTCCTGTTTTTGTGTCTGCAGCTCACTCTGCACTTCCACCCCTCAGTGTCACTGTTTGCAAAAACAGTCCTTCAGGTAGAACTTGGAAATACATCTTTATACTTACAGGAGCTCATTTATCTTCATGTTTAGTAGCTTTCTGGGGTAAACATTTGGAGTGTTTGTTGTTTCCACAGGGAGGGTTCATCCAGTACTCTGGAGACCCTCTGCAGGACTTCACCCTCATCCGCTTCTTGGATCGATTTGTCTTCAGAAACCCCAAACAGCTGAAGGGAAAACGTAATAAACACAGATGTTATTTTATTGCTGTCTGGTAGTTTTATTCAGAATGTCTTTATGCTGTGTGTGTGGTGGAAAACGGATTCAAACAAAAACCTAAGGATTCACATGTGACAGTTTTACAGTGTTTGTTAATGTTCAGCACTGTCAGTTTGAAAAGTTTTAATTTCTGCCATGTTTATTTCTCAGAGAACACAGATGCAGCTGTGCTGAAGCCCAGGCAGAGGTTACCTGCCAGCTCCTTACCAGGTGGGTTCAAATGATATGCAGCCTTTGTCCTTAGGAAATCGACCGTTGTTGTCTGATGGACGTATTTTACCACTAATGCAAAACATTCAACGTACACGTCTTGTTTATTTTGTTTTCCATTCCATTTCCATTGTTTTCCATATTTTTGCATCAGTGAAATGAACAACTTCTGTCTTGTCAGTGAACTGTGAGGAGTTTCTGTCCAAAGACGAGAGTCAGATCCCGGTGGATGAAGTCTTCTTCTATCGGTGAGTCAGAAAGAAACCAGTGCTAAAATCTTGCTTTTATATCTCAAACTAAAATTGAATGTTCTGCCTCACATTCACACATTTTCAGAAAACCTCTCCTGGACACTTACTGACACGCTCAGTTGTTGTCGTGAAAAGTAACGAATGAACAAAGAGCGGAGAGACAAGTTCAGGCCTGGGCTTCTCTCTCACATCCAGTGAAGAGGGTTTTTTTTTCTTTCCTAAATTTAACCTTTATTTTATCAGAAACCCACTCAGATCAAAAATCTCTTTTGCAAGTTTCCAGGCCAAGATGTTTCAAACAACATAAAAACAAGTAACACTCACAGATCCATCAAAACTCGTTAGTCAGTATCACAATCTGAAATTTGCCTTAAGAGGCTTTAAAGCGCTGTGACACTGACAGATCAGTGAAAATGAACGTGCCCAGGGAAACGGTGGCTTTAATCTCATTTTACACCTGAGTAGATTTTAATCAGCGTGTGATGCATTTGTTTCCTCGACTTTTGGCAGCTTCTTTAAGAAACGCCAGCAGGAGAAGCAGAGTCGTCGCCCACGAGGAGACGGCGACGACGAGAGCGTGGAGGACGTAGACGATGAAGAGTTTGAGAAAATACTTGGTGCGTCAAGATGCAGTCTAGTTTTTACACTGAGAACCAAAGGACCTAAATCGTTGAATCCCGTGTGAACTGATTCTACACAATTATACTGGTGTTTCTCTGACTTTGTTTTGGAACAGATTCCTGTGAAGGAGACTCCTACTTCACTGACCTGGCAGATGATGATGATCTGGACTTTGCAGGGTGAGTAGACCCCTCGGGTGTGTGCTTACGACCCTCTTCAGGATAAGCAGCGTAGATCATGGATGTTTCAAGTTCAGACTTTCACCCTGTAATTTTCTCCAACGTGCTGACTGGACCCTCGTCCTGTTTTCCCTCCGTTTGTCAGGAACGTGAAGGGGAAGAAAGGTAAGAAGGACGCTGAGGAGTCTGACATGGACTCAGACGTGGATGACCTGGATGATGAGGAGGTGTCTCTGGGCAGCATGGACGAGGAAGACTTTGGAGATGAGCTGGACGAGGAAGGAGGGATGTTCATTGAGCCTGACGGAGATGGAGACGACGACGATGATGAAGGTAGGGAACATCAGACAGTACCAACATCCAGATTTTCACTGTGTGTGGAGTTCAATTTACACACAAATGTGAATCTTAAAGTGTATTTTGTTTGTTTGTTGTGTTTTCAGTGCCTGAGCTGGAGGATGACAATGCTGCGCTTGGCGGCGAGTTCACCTCAAAATCCTCAGCAGTTTCATTCTATTACAGTCTGAATCAGTTCTGCTTATTATTCAGTACTGTCACAAAGTTGGCATTTTAACACACACAAAAAAACTTGCACCCATAATATGGAACATGTGCAAACTAGTTTTCTTTTCACACACGTGCAGGAACCAAAAATATTAGAAAACTTAAATGGGAAACAAACAGCAACTGTTAAGAAGCTATGTTTCCATATCATCATAGAAAAAGACTTGATTAAAGGTTATTCTTTTCATGTCAGTTTTCAGTTTTTTTTAATTCTTTATCACCATTATACACTGATCGGCCACTCCTCAGCTACATACATGAGGGTCAGAATATTAGGAACACCTCTGGATATAATGTAGTCCAGTACAACAGCACCTTTAACTATGACCTCAATAATAAACATTGAATTGGATTTAAACATTTATGACAATTTCACCAAAAACTAAAACATGTTGAGTGTCAAACAGATGTTGTGGTGGAAGTGTTGCACTGAAGTGCATACAACTGTACAGGTGTACCTAATAAAGTGGCCAGTGAGTGTAGATGCTATCAGTTAACTTAAATATGTTTATTTTCTCTGCTGAGTAATGATGTGACAGTTGTTTCTGTGCAGATTCAGACAATGAGGCGGAGATTTCGGACATCACCCCTCGACCCAAGAAGGGGAAGAAGAAGAAGTCCTCGGAGGAGCTCGATGTCTTTGGGTCTTTAGGTTGGTGCTGAATTTAAGTCGTTTTAGTTTTTACCTGAGTTAGAATGTGGTCATCTAAAGTGTTCCAACTTTAAATTTTAGTGCGACTGTAAATTTCTCTGTTTCTGAGTCAGGTTTTGTGACCATGTGATGTTGCAGCTGCTGCATTAGTCAAGTTGTTACTGATCACTGTTCCAGGTTCAAAGCAAGAGAAGAAAAAGAAGAAAGGAAAGAAAGACTCAGCCGTGTTTGCTTCTGCTGAGGAGGTGACGACTTTTTTGCACCACGGTTAAAATATTCTGTAAAGGAAAAAATAAAATCTGAATTTAGATTTGATGAGATCTGTTTTGCTAAACAAATATTTTCAGTATTGACTAAATTATTCAGAAAAACAATTATCACAAAGTGTCATATTGCTTTAGATGACAAAGAGCAGCAGCATTTCTGCCTTTTATTTGAAAAGTGACTCAAACTGCTGATCAGTTATCAATATTGTGGATCGACTAGTTATTTACTTAGACTGACACTTTTAAAACCCCTTCTTGATGTCAGACCTGTTCTTCAGCCAACACCGTTTACCAAGTGCATCTTTTGGAGACATGTTTCTGTGCAACACAAACTGTTGGATATGAAAAGCTTTTATTTTTGCATATTAAATGTGTTGTGTTCCAGTTTGGCTCCCTGTTGGATGAGAACGCCGGCTCCAAGTTTGACAACATCGGGCTCAACGCCATGGCCAACACTGACAGAGCAGGTAGGACACCTGCAGGCGGGGAATGTTATTACAGGCTGAGGGGGGCGTGTGATGTTGGGGTCCGTCTTCACACTGTAGGTCTGAACAGAGTGAGACAGGAATAATTAGTGAAAACCCAAACACAACAAGAAACCAAAAAAATGTGACAGAAAATAACCTTAGAAAATAAGCCATAGACCAGATTCATTGCAATTCTTATTAACAAAAGTGTTTTACAAAAGTAACTTTTCGGAAACATCTACAATCTGTCATGTTCAGCATTTAATTCTTGTGCAAGTGAAATAATTAATAACTTCAAGATGAAAGAAACAAGTTCAGCTCCTACTTTTAGCTGCTGTAGTAGGTTTAATGGTGGGGTCTACGTGGAGGTCTATGGCACAGAGCAATATGCTGAACCAGGGTCTGGACTCTCAAACAAAAACCATAAAAATCACCAGCTGCATCCTTTAAAGTCAGATGAAGGAAAGAAATGCAAACCTCTCCTGTGCAGCTGATCCAAATGATAGCCAGAGCCAGTGCGTCTCTGACACCTCCTGCTTGTCTCTGCAGGTCTGAAGCAGCTGAAGTGGGAGGCTCAGCGTGACGACTGGATCCATGGCCGTGATGCCAAGACGCTGCGCCGGAAGAAGACCATGTTCAACAGGAAGAAGAGGTTCAGCCAGACCAGGCCAGGAGGCAGGACGTTCGGGAGCAAGAAGAGGAGGAAGTAGTTGTTGGGCCCCTTCAGTCCCGTTTGGCTGACCAGGCTTCGTGGTCTCCCTCTCGAATGCCGTAGACCCCTGCCCACTCGTTGGACTTGTAGTAAACTGGGACAAAGGAGATTAGCAGAAACTGGTTGTCAGATCTAGTCAGCTGATGCTGTTTGACTCATCTCTCAGTAACAAAACCCTGAACTGGGGAGGAACCACATTTCAGCGTTTTAAAATTAAAGACTTTAGTACATGGGACAGGGTTCTGGTGTGGTTGTGTTGGTCTGCAGATGATCATATGTACATTCCCAGAGTAATAAAAACCAAATGAGTGTTGTATCTATTAACAGTTGGAGAAATAGTTTTCTGGTGCTGTTATACTTTGTTTACAGAAAACAGCAGATAAACATTTCCATACATTTAGTTTTGACCCTTCATTTATACATTAAATTTTTTAATTAAGCGAACAGCAGTTTTAACTGAATCTATTTCAACTAAAAGAATTATAAAAGTAACATCTGTACAGTAGTCCTGGCTCCCCTTCAGAATAAACCTCTGCATTTCATTGTTGCATAAGAGGATTTAAGCAGGAGCTCAGGTTAATACTTGGTGTAACATTAATGGAAATGTTTTCAAATTTAAACCTACAAGGGCTTCTATATTTTTAGTTTCAGCTTCTCAAACATGAGAACTGCACATCCTTGGGGGCTGGAGTGCTGGTCTATATGACAGCACAAAGGATCAAGAAAATATATGGAGACTAATCAATAATAAATGATGTGGATAAAGTTTTCTACTGACGATGCCTGTCTGACCCCTGAGAAAGTGAATGAAATAAAGAAGAAACTATAACAGTGTGTGGTCATCCACCTTTACATGAAACATGGAAATCTCTCAAACCTGAGACATCTGAGATATTGTAATTAATTTACTACATTTAGTCAAATCCAAACCTGGAGGACAAAGATCTGCTCACCTTCTAGAATCGATGGAAACCTCCTTTTCACGGTGCTCCTGAAATCTGGAAGGGTGTAGGGGACAAAACAAAGTGTTAGATGTGGAGTCACATGCTCCAGGTGTGTGACACCTGACATGATTCCCTCAGAGAATTCAACTGATACCTCGACTGCTGTTCATCATGAGGAAGAGGCCGTATGCCCCGAGGACGCCCATTAGTTCCAGGGCGATCACGGCCTTCATCAGCTTCTTGGCCAGAGGCTCCAGAGGTTTAGGAGGCATCTTTAGAGAGAGCAACACACACAAATACAACTTACAACTTTATTTGGACTGACATGTATTTAAAAAATGACCTGGGACACAGATACTGGTCAGTGCACTGGGCATAAGATGCAATTTTTAAAGGCTTTAACTGTTTCAGAACAAATGAATTTTGCTCAAGATGTCTGTTGATCAAATTCTCCATAACATGGGCTCCACCATGACAGAGTTCAAAACAATGGTCAGCTTTTAATTTGTATGTTTTGAATATATCACATTGTTTTTGTCTGAATTATGACAAGCTAAATTTAGAATATGATTTATATATCAGAAAGTGGAAATTTGTGACTAAACTTAAACATGGTCTGGAACTGTCCATTCTGTGAAAACTACATGAAAGTTTTCAGGTTATGGAACCGTTAAGAGGATAACAGCTTCTAACCAACTTGCTATTTCTCTTGATAATAGGGAAATTTAAATATTAAGACTATAAAAACTTACATTTGTTACAAATACAGACAACACTAGGCTGACATTACACCATGACTGCCAAAAATCTAATGCCACACAAAGAGGATTGTGTTCAAACTGTATAACTGACATGCAATATTCAAAAGAACATGAACTGAAATAAATAATTAGGAGTAGCAGGTAATTTTGATATTTGATCAATCTGTGCAAAATAATTCTCAACATTTTTAACTGCATTTTGTGTAAGAATTCAAAACGGTTTGAAGAGATTTATTTCCTTTATTTCACTTCATATTATTACTAATTCCTCTTTGGGGCCAAATAATGCTTGAACATTATTTAACTTGGATAGAGTTCCCATATGTATTCTCGCCCATTCTTTGGCACATTTGATTGTGTATAACTAACTAGCATATTAACTTTAGTTGCTTGAATTTCGCGCCTAATTTCTTAAATTTTACAGTTTGACAATAAATTAAAGTGGCTGTGCTCATCGAACTGAAACAATTACTGTAGCAGCAGTTTGCTCCTGGCTTTTGACGTAGGACGACGCGAATAAATCGTGGTCCAGAGTCCAGGGAAACAAACTGGAGCAATGTGACAAGCATGTTCAGCCCATTAACAGTAGTAGCGCTATACGGTGGAATAAATCACAATAGAAGAGTAAAGTTATTTACACACTTGAATTTGACACGGTTGTACATAATGCGGCTACAAACAGTTTTAACGTCCATGAATAAACGTGTCTAATTTGCAGCGAGTTTATCTCTATTCTTCCACAAACTTACCTCCAGCTTCGAGATGAAGTTAATAACCGAAACGTTCCTAAACAGTAACTTAAAAAAGTGAAACTTTTCGAATATAACGTACAACGTTCGGACACACCGACGACCATCTGCCCTTGTGCAACCAGAGCTAACAGCTAACAACAGACTGCTACTTCCCGACTACGGAAGCGCGGTTGGTACAAATCACTCACAAACAGTGATGGTCCTCTGACACCCGAGGCTCCGACATATATACATACACATACACATACATACATACACACACACACACACACACATAGAGAGAGAGAGAGAGAGAGAGAGAGAGAGAGAGAGAGAGAGAGAGAGAGAGATACACACACACATATATATACATACTGTATACATATGTTTTTATTAAACAACAATGCAGATCAATACATACACAATACAACAGCACAAACTGTTGCAACAGATGTGTAACAGTGCATTTAGAGCATAACAGGACAAAAGTAGGCATGTAATAACTAGGTGAAAAACAATAACAGCACCAAACAAGTGAGAACAAAGAAAAGAAAACACAAAGAGGTAAAGCTATTCTGATATAAAATTAAAACATTTGAGCAGGTCAATGGTTTTGGTTCACTTTTTGTTGGGGTGGTTTAATTGAGACAGTGTTTGGAAGTAATTGTTGAGATCTGAGTGTTTAAAAGTAAAAAAGGATGGTGATTTTTTTCAGAAATTTCATTTTTTGGATGAAGAATTTGGCCAACATTGGACAAGACAAATACAAAGTAAAAACAGAGTTCCATGTTCTTCCACCAAGAGTCTGGCATGGCCATTTATGTTTAACAGCTGTTGTTCTTGGAATGAGGGAGTTTCTTATAAAGATGTTGTTGAATCTTTTATCAAAGATAGAAGTGCCATTAACAGCAATATCTAAATTGATAGAGCTGTGTGTGTTTGAGAAGGAGCGTGCTAAACTGAAAATGCCAGACGGAAGTGCATTAATAACAGTATTATACTCGTGCTGGGAGACAGGAACCCTGTACTTAGCTATGAAATGCTCATATGACAACAGAACTCCATCACAATTAAACAGTTGTTTTACAAGTGCAATGTTATTTTAAACCAGTTTTCAAAGAACAAGGATTTGTTGTTGTAAGTGATAATGGCATTATTCCATAAGAAATATTTATGAGGAGAATAGTTGTGCTTGTACAATAGAGACTAGCACATAAGGGCTGATTTATGCAAGTTGGAGAGTTTGACTGGGAGCTTGCCCACAGCGAAGGGACACATTAATAAGAAATTAAGACCACCAACCTTTTTAAATAGGAAATTTGGGATGATATTCCACATGCTGTCTGGACTTATTAGAAATCTTTTGATCCAATTGATTTTTACAGTATCGTTCAATGAAGAAAAATCAAGAACATTGA